TTCAAGAGTCGTAAAAGTTAATGCGTCGTGTTCCATGTTTTTTTTTTCGGTTTTCTTTCGCACATCGTTGAGTTACTCGTATTTTTTGTTTCTGACGCTTTCGTCCTGTCTCGAGGTAGTACATGTGCGTGTTTTATACTCTTGAGCTTAGTCCTTTCAACTCGTAAACTTTCCAAGGGGTCTTTTGCACGCATCCCTGCAAACAGGATCGGCGAGTGCTTTTATTACAAATGGTCGTCATTTATTATCAGGAATATTCACTTTTATTTCTAAAGTTTTGAACTAACGCCATCTATGCAAAAATATTTTTTAAATTTATTTACTGAAAACTGTAATTTTTTTTACAGAAATCTGTAATTTTTTATGAACGGAGTTTAGAAGTAGTAAGATGACAGCTCGGGGCGGAGCTTAAACTCAACATTTTTATATTAACTTCTTTTCTATCGCGATATTGTGAACACAAACAAAAAATTTCGTCTATTTTTGTTGTTAGATGTATAATTTTATAAGAAATATTAATTTTTATTTCAAAAATTTCTAACTAACGGCATCTATACTTAAATATTTTCTTTAAATTCAATTACAGAAATCTGTAAAATGATTTTTACCTTTTTCTATTTTTTACAGAAATCTGTAATTTTTGATGAAAAACTTTACAAGTACTAAGTTGACAGCTCGGGGCGGAGCTTAAACTCAACATTTTTATATTAACTTCTTTTCTATCGCGATATTTTGAACACAAACCAAAAATATCGTCATTTTTGTTGTTGGATGTTTAATTTTATAAGAAATATTAACTTTTATATCAAAAAATTCTAACTAGCGCCATCTATACATAAATATTTTCTTCAAATTCAATTACAGAAATCTGTAAAAGATTTTTTTAAGTTTTTCTATTTTTTTTACAGAAATCTGTAATTTTTGATGAAAAAACTTTATAAGTACTAAGTTGACAGCCCAGGGCGGAGCTTATACTCGACATTTTTATATTAACTTCTCCCCCAGCGCGTTATTTCGAACGCAAACAAAAGATTTCTGCCTCTTTGTTGTTGGATGTTTACCTTTGACATCGATATCATGAATAACATCATGTACAAAAATACATAACCTAAATAAACCCGCCAAAAACGCAAAAAGTGCACAACTACCATTTTGTGCAGGTTAAGTAATAAAATAATAAATTTATTATCCACTCAATTAAAAAAATCAAAAAAAATGCATCTGGATGAATAAAACATGATTTAATAGACGCGCTGTGCTGGCCGCGTGTCGGTGAATACATCAATTTTCCATTTTCCGGTGATTTCCACGCATAATTTCCGCTGCGTGTTTTTTCAGCGCCCGAAAAATAGCACCGCATACGCAGCGCATACATAAATGTTTTAATTCTTTTTTTTCAATTCCCGAGAGTTTTTCTGTTATTTTTACCAAACAAATCAGTGCATAACCTCTTTCTATACGAAGGGAATTGAAATTGGAAACGTAAAAAACGCGCATAACAAAAGAAAGTTAATTAAAACGCGGAATTTATAGAATATAAATTGATAATTAATTATAGACAAGTTTATGTTTGGTTATAATAAAATAAAATACACTGGGTGTTGCAAAAAGTAATAAATAGCATATTTTTGAGGTTATAAACCAATTATTTTCTTTACATGCTGACAGATGGCGCTTTTTTCAATTTTTTTTTACAGAAAACTGTAAATTTAACCTAAACAAAGCAATAAATTACTATTTTGAACCGGAAAACCGGAAAAATTAACAAAAAACATGTTTTTACTCATGAAAATAATTGGTTATTTTCTTTACATGCTGACAGATGGCGCTTTTTTCAATTTTTTTACATAAAACTGTTAATTTAACCTAAACAAACCAATAAACTGCTATTTTGAACCGGAAAACCGGAAAAATTAACTAAAAACATATTTTTTCTATTTTTAAACATGAAACACTCTGTATATTGACCTAAATGATAACAAAACGTGAAACAAAAATGTTTTTTTACCCTCGCGTTTTGTTTATGTTTCTAATTAAAGAATAATTCAATCAGTGGGCTGAACTCCCGCCTGTTTTTTTATGTTCTGTGATTTAGCAAAAAAAAAAACCCACACCCCGCCCTTTAAATTCCAAACGTACGTTCGTGCGTGCGCGTTGCCAAATCAGCAATTTAAAATCCTCTAATTTGATACACGACAGCGGCGGTGTCGGGCCGCAGTGCCATTTGGGCACAAATTGCTTTTATTAATTGAATTGCTCACACAATAAACGAGAAAAAACAATGGAGTTGCTTTTTTCTGACGTCAAATAGCAAAAAATTCAGGCGTTTAATTTTTTTCCGTTTTACAAACATTTGTTTATCGGATTTATATTTCTTTTCTGCTGGTGCCGGTGCTGCTTGCTGCTGCAATGCGACAAAATAAGAATACTGGAAATGTAATTGAAAGAAATGAAGACAATGGCGCATTATTCAAGCTTAGCGTACGACAAGCGCAAACAAGTTTTAATAAAATTTCATACTCGCATTTTTACACTTATAGGAAGCATACAGTATGTTCAAAACTCTAAAATTTTGATTTTTAGAAAAATATCTACCCTATTCATCGATAAATAGCGTCTGGAGCGGTTTAAAAGCAATTTAAAAATTCAACCGATAGGTGGCGTTGTTAAATTTTATAGTAAATTATTTTTTTTCTCTACACAAAATTTTCTTAATGCATAAAAATAAATATTTGATGATGAAAATATTTATTTCTTTTTTTACACCTGAGAAATAAATAATTTTGGTCATTTTTGCTCCGCCCACTTCCGATATTTCTATATAATTCCAATAAAAACATCAAAATATCTATAAAAATAAAAATTATTTTGTTTTTTTTTCCATTTCCACCTATTTGCCGATAGATGGCGTGGTTAAATTTTGTACTAAAATTATATTCTAACCTTTTAATCGCTAGATGGCGTTTTAAAGTAAAAGTAATTAATTCCTCTCAACCTCTATTTAAACCCAAAAACTCTCATGTCCACACGTTTCCATCAATTCGCAATTTGCGTGTAATTCGTTAATTTATATCGCGCACACAAATCACCTTAATCGAAATAAATGAATAAATGAACACACACCTACACGCACGCCACCTACGTGAACCTTTTTCCGATAAATGTCCCCCCGAACGCGCAGGATTAACGAATTACTAATTGCATTGTTATTTCAAATCGACTTTTAATTAATTCGTAATTGATTGCTACACAAATAACATAACATTCCTTTAATAATCATAAAAATTACAGTTTTCTGTAATCTCTAAGCCCATGTTTTCTCAACGAGTATAATTTCATGAAACGCGCTTTCAACTTTGAACTTTTTCGTCTTTCCCGGGCCTGAATGAGGAAGGAAAAGTAATCTATATGAAAATGTGTAGGTATTCTCTGGTAGAACTAGAAAAGTGTCAGCTGACAGTGAACTTTTTCCCCTTCGCACACACATGTGACATATGAAAAGAACCCTCGTGGAATATTGAATATATTGTCGCCATCTGTCCGCAGATAACTGGACTACTCGTAATGTAACATGACATTTGGTAATGCACGGCCATTTTGAATCGCAGCACTGCGTTAAAAATAGAATCTGCAGAATATTCTATAAATGCACAATTCTCGGAAATAATTTATTATTATTTGCGTTATCAGCAGCGCCAGGAGTTTATTTTTACTGAGTGCATTATTTCCGTTGTGCGCGTCCGGGGCCGGGGTGAATGCAAGTGGATATCGATTGCTGCAGTGTTGCATCCGAGCGGGCTCTTGGCACTCCCGTAATATTCTCGAAATTAACAAATAAATAATCATAACTTATCAACAACAAACAAAAACTCAATTTTAATTTTAATCCGAATTATTTTTATAAAAATAAATAAAAAGCTATAAAATATTTTATTTTTTTAAGCAATAGTTGGTTATGTTGCCAAGTGGGTCATGCCGCAGCCCAACATACGCATGCAGTGCAGGTTAGGTTGCATACCACAGCAATTCCGATATTCGCTGCTTTTAGCGAAAATACTCGTGAACGTCGAACGGTAGGTAATGCAATACGATGCCTGCCGGCGTCTTGCTATCGAGAGCGTCGCTTCGATGCGCACATTCCATCGCCGACGGTAGCAAAAACAAAATATACAGCCGAAACTCTAAGAGTGTAAAGTGCAAAATGTATGAAACACGGTTATGGACAATTTAATTTCATTACACGTCGACAGATGGCGCTTTTTCAGATATTTTTACAGAAAACTGTAGATTTAGAACAATAAAGTTATACTTTTCAGCAGAAAACCGGAAAACATTCATTTCTAATAACTATAAAATGTAAAAATAAATAAAATAAGGTTATGTGAAACTTAAATTCATTTTCCGTCGATAGATGGCGCTTTTTAAATATTATTATTACAGAAAACTGTAAATTTAACCTAGACAAAACAATAAACTCCTAATTTGAACCGGAAAACAGGAAATATTAACTTCTATCAACTATAAAATTCAAAAATGTATAAAATAAGGTTATGTGATATTTAATTTAATTTCCCGTCGACAGATGGCGCATTTTTAATTTTATTATTACAGAAAACTGTAACTGCACCCTTTGCAAATCCATTACCTTCCTAATTTTAACAATTTCCGCTTCCTGTTTCCGCTTACTTAACAAAAATACCACGCATTGCCAGTGTCAGTGTCAGTGTCCATGTTAGAGACGATTTGCTTGCCAATAGCAATGACCAAGTTTATTTGCGCCGACATTTGGCAACGCTCGCCCGCGCGCTGCGCTGCAGTCGGTGCAATTTCCGCTCGGGTCGTAAATCTTTCAGCGCACGTCTAGCTTCCGATGCGCTCCTTAATTTTCTGCCGCTTCGTAAACGAATTTCGTTCGCTCGTAACCACTTTAAACTACTCACTACTCACTGATGACTTAATGCAAGAAAACGTTTAAGACGACAGTTGCTTTTTGATTTCAGGTAATGCAACAAAAGACTGTTTCTCGAATGGCACGTGGCTGAAAGCGGAGTATGGCGCATGCGTGGAGATAATGGATCACACGACGAGTCATGGGATTATTACAACTGCGACGATTTATTTTGTGGGGTATTGTCTCAGTTTGGTTGCGCTTGCCATCGCTATAGGGATATTTTTAACTTTTAAGTGAGTATGAGCTATGTGCCGATAGGTGGCGCTAGTAAATTTTGTAGTAAATTAATTTTTGTTTCTACAGAAGTTTTTTTTGAAGCCTAAAAATCAATTTGTCATTAAAAAAATATTTATTTCTTTTACAACAACTGAGAAATAAATAATTTTTGTCATTTTAGCTCCGCCCCCTTCATATATTTCAATATAATTGCATTAAATCATCAAAATATCTCTCGAAAAGAAAATTCTTTTACGTTAATCTCTCTTATATTAAATCTCTCTGAGTCTTCAGAAGTTTACCGGCATTTCCGCTCCATTGCAACTACACTGCGCTCTAATCTACATCAATCTTAGTTTCCGGTCCTTTTTCTTTCGCTCTTTGATATCAACTGCTATCTAAAGACCTGTCTCGAAAAGCCAAGATCATGTTATTAACATTATTAACTTCATTAAGTTATAATAACCTCTAACTCTCCCTTCACTTCCGGTTTTCTTTTATTTCGAAAGCATTCTTGCCGCGTGCTTATACTGCTTCATTTCATAGTCTCTTTTGTGTACACATTCTCGAACCTGCTGCCGCGCCTTTCATCTTTCCACTTTCCGGCTTTCCGCTTTCCGATTTAATCAGACCAAAGATGCACGGGAGCGAAAAGTTGCAGTCAACAGGCTTTGCAAAGTTAAAAAGTAACACTTCCGGTTTCTTTCCCAAACCGGAAGTGATTTAATTAAAACCGGAAAACTTCGCTGAATTCAATTTTTATTCATGTTTCAGAGATTTACGATGTCTCCGCAACACAATACACACCAACCTGATGTGTGCGTACATGTTCGTCTACTTCATGTGGATTCTAACCCTAATGCTCGAGGTAAACAAAAATACATTACAGCACATTACATAACCTCACAGATAAACCCCCTATGACATTCCGGCAGCAGTAAAACTTTGCAATCGCGATTAATTCACTCAAAACAGGAAAACAGAAAACAGGAAACGAGACAAATGTGGCGCACGTCACATTTAAAGATCTCAACTTTCTTGGCGTGTGTATAAGGGTGCAATGCACGCCATCGCACCCTTTCAGCTCGTGATTTATTCGCGCTGGCGCGAAAACAAATACGCTACGCGCGCGGGGTTCGATATCGTGACGTAAAACACACACACAAACACAAACAAACACATTGTATATATGTATGTGTATATGTGGTTGCAGCTAAACTTCGAGAGCCACCTGGCGTGCATCGTGCTCATAATTCTCCTGCACTACTTTCATCTGACAACCTTCTTTTGGATGTTTGTCGAAGGTAAAACACGCCTCATGCAAATAAAGTTGCATAAAAATTGATTTTCTATTTTTTCTCCTCCAGGGTTGTATTTGTACATATTAGTTGTGGAAACACTCACCAGGGAAAACTTTAAAGTGAAAGTTTACATTTTTATCGGTTGGAGTAAGTAAAATTCATTTTTAACCAAAAAAAAATTAATTTTAACCTCACTTTTTGTTTTAATTTAAAATTTTAGTAATGCCGACATTTTTCGTCTTTGTCTGGGCGATAGTAAAAAGTTTTCTACCCGTACAAGACGTTGAGAATGGCGCACCTATCACTGTAAGTACCTTAACCTAGATTTACACCGTCAGATGGCGTGAGTTATCAAAAAAATCACATCAAACGCAAATCAAGTTATTTTCGTGTTGAAATCAGTGATTAATCACTAATTGCGATGCTAATGAGCACGTTTATCAAACACGCGATGAGATTCATTTCCGTATTTCCGCATTTCCGTTTTGATTCACAATAATTACGTGTCAGTCAATCAAACTCAAAATAACCTCAATAAATTTCTTTTTTTTTCTTGTAAAAATTCAAGATGGACGAAGCAAGTGCGGGTAATCTCTGGTCGCATTGTCCATGGATGCGTCCACACGCAGTCGACTGGATCCATCAAGGACCAACAGTCGCCGTGCTCCTGCTCAATCTGCACTTCCTGTTGGCGATCATGTGGGTACTCATCACGAAACTTCGTTCGGCAAATACGCTCGAAACGCAGCAGTATCGCAAAGCTGCGAAGGCTCTACTCGTCTTGATGCCTCTACTGGGTGTTACATACGTTCTCACAATTGCTGGGCCTACAGCGGATGAAGCCACGAAAAATATTTTCGATTATGTTCGAGCTGTGCTACTCTCCACACAGGTTAGTATAGAATAACCTAAAATAACATGGTGCGGAGATCATATAAATGATAATGATTGTGGATTTATTTTTTGCTTTGAAGAAAAGTAAGTCTTATTTTTATTCTTGAGAAAAAGTGAAATAACGACGTCTAAATTCATAAATCGTCGGATATTACGAGATATCGAATATAACAAAAGAAGGAATAAAATATCAGGCGTTTTGGTAATACTAGTCATAAACGTTTACGTGATCGGATACGATATGAACGATATGGAAAATGATGGATCGACGCGGTTAATTTTTTGTTTAGCTTTTTACGATTATCATGATTTGCGATGTCTGGCGATCAACCAAACTATGTAATTTATACAGTGTAGGTGTATAACCTCACTCGAAACACAACATAACCAAATTTTAGCATTTTCTGCATATAGGCAACTTTTTAATCAACTTGAAATGAATAAATCAACTTTAATTCTTATTTTTGTAAAAATCTGTCAGTTTATAACACAAAACAATTAATTTTTCAACTATTGCCCGATAGATGGCGTTGGAGTACTATTAATCTCATTTTATCACGTTATAATGAAGTGTGGTTACGTCAAAGAACAAAACATAACTAAATATTAGACATTTACACGGATAGGCAACTTTTTAATCAACTTGAAATGATTAAATCAACTTTAATTCTTATTTTTAGTAAAAATCTGTCAGTTTATGACACAAAACAACTACTTTTTCAACTATTTGCCGCTAGATGGCGTTAGTATACTATTAATGTCATTTTATCATGTTATAGTAAAGTTTGGTTATGTCAAAGAACAAAACATAACCAAATATTAGCATTTTACAAAGATAGGCAACTTTTAATCAACTTGAAATGATTAAATCAACTTTAATTCTTATTTTTGTTAAAATCTGTTAGTTTATGTCGCAAAACAACTACTTTTTCAACTATTGGCCGCTAGATGGCGTTGGATTACTATAAATCTCATTTTATCACATAACCAAATATTATTATGAAATGAAAATATTTCCCATCGTCCCACATATTTTTTATAGAACCACACTGTATGTTTATAATTTTAAAACTTAGGTTAGAATTGAAATATCCAAATCTAAATGAGTTGAAGATTTGTGTTGCAAAGCGGAAAAACCAATTGTAATACCGTAATATTCGCGTTGTTAAACACGCCGCTCGTTAGACATACCCACTCCGCCGCCACCGCCTCCACCACCGCCGCCGCCGTTGCCGTTTATCGTCGGTTTTATGTCCGAACGTCGCTGCGACTGCGGATATTGCGATCGAACGTCGCGCGATTTAATGCGGCGCCATTTTGTAACGTTTAATACAAAGTGCAGTGCAACAACCTACGACTACGACACCGCCATGTTATTTTTTTTTTTCTAAAACAATAAATTTAGAAGACGAAAAAAAATTCACTACACACGAATGTTTACGACATAAAAAACGATCAAGATGCGTTGATTAAAGAGGAATAGTTTGTGCGCAAGTTGATGAATACGTACGTCTCGGGAATAGGGATAAACAGGACGATGTTATCGCCGGTCGTTAATCCTGCGCCCTGTGAGACTAGATTAGACCGAAAGACCGGACTACGAATCGGCGCCGAATGCAAATTGCAAACTAGCGAATTAGTTTCCAAGGCTTTCCCGGGCCAGTAATCGCACGTTAAGAAAACCTAACCTAAAAGTTTACTTCACAATAAACTTCCATAAAACAAAACAAAAAAAAAACTTTTTTAAAACATTTTTTGTTCTCTAGGAGAGAATAAACACAATAAAATTTAATTTTTCACAAGTGGAGAATTTTTGCAGTTTTCCCGTCCGAGTTTAATTGGATAAACTCTCACAGCGCTGTTCACATCGTGATTTAGCAATCAACTTTTTGTAAAAATCTTTTTAATTACAACTTAATTAATTATACAATTAACTTCAATTAAAAGAGGTTTTAAAGCATTTTTAAAAATTTTTTCTTATAAAATGATTTTTATGAACACTCGGTATATTATTTTGGTTGAGACTAATTGCTAATTGCTACATTGGTGAATTAGCAATTAAGACTTCTCGCGTTTTGTCTCGAGTTAATTTTCGTCGTTTTTTTTTTTCTCTTAAACGAAGCAAAAAACGCGTAAATCTTAATTTGTTTTCACAAAACTTTAAATCCTTCAGATAATTTATTTCAAAACGCATTTTACTCGTACATTGAACACTGGAGGCAGGCGGTTAATCGCAGCGGGCGCTGGCTCGGACGTAACGCAATTTTCCACCGAATTAACCACAATTTACTCGACGATTTTCTTTCCTTTCAATAATTTTTTATTTTTTACTAATTTCCGCAACACTTTGTATATCCAACTGGTTTTTGATTAATATCCCTCACAAAACAATGTGAATATTTTAAGTTTGAACATTAACCCGTTGAGGTGAACACGAAAGCTCTTTCCGGTACAAACCACTTACTTCCGGCGGACGTGAGGGGCGGCATCAGCTGCACTCGAGTTAACCCATCCTCGTAAAACCCCTGAATAATGTAATACCTAAAATGCTCCTTGCGCAATCTCGAAATCCTCAAAACTTTATAAATTTTTTTAATGTATGCAACCAACTATACATCAAATAGTTTGCATTCTATGTGAAATATTCGCACAATGGCAATCGCACGGACTGCGGGTAGAAGAGGCGGCGGTGCATGAACATGCATTTACACATTTATAACACGTATGCACGATGAGCACGTCGCCATCATGGTGGTCATGGCGGCAGCGGTGCGGCCAAGCGAACAAACGCATCGAACGTGTCCGCGCTACAGAGCCGTTATTATCGGATTCGCATTGCTGGTAAAGCAAGCCTCGCCAGGACATATTTTATATTTTAGACAAAATTTGCCTCTTTCGCACACTCGTATAATATTTCCAATTATAAGTGTTTAATTCATTTCCGCTGGTGACAAACGCAGTTTTAAATTATTTCATTCTCGTCAACTTGATGATTGATTAATCGACACGTTCCACTTGACTAGACTGCAACTCAGTGCTTGCGTCAGTAACGACGTGCGAGGAAGAGCCACTTGGTCGCCACACACTAGTAAAACCAACGCCATCTACATCTACAGTTAATAAATTAATAAATCATTTAAATCTTTATCAATAGATATGGAAACAAAAATAAAAATTCTTTTTGTGCATTTTGTTGAATTTGCGCATTGGGTTGCATAAATCAACCATCATCGGAGTAAATTGTAACAAATTGCACAATGGACTGGCTGGCAGCATGTGTGTACTTCGTTCAGTTACAGTATTGCTCCTCTCAATTTTTTGTCGTTTCTGTCTTGATTTGTTCATGTATTTGTATAAAATTGATTTTTAGTGCAAATTGATTGTTTGCAGTCACAGAGTACGAAGAGGAGAATGAATGGGGATACGGCAGCTGGTTCCAGGTACCTTTGTTTATGATCATCGCCAGCGTCAACTGCTGTTGGGCTCCCTGGCGCTGACGCTCTTCTGGGTCATCTACTACCAAGATGGCTTCGCGTGGCGTGACGCGACATCAGAAGCAGTTCAACCTGCATCCGGTGCTCATGGTGGCCGGCTTCATCACTTTCAGCGGTTTCTGTAAGTAATTATTTTCTTTGGACACATTGTATATTAAAAATGTCATTAGGGCCTTCTATACGAAAAGCTTAGGCTTAATCTTTAGAGGTTTAATTCTTAACAATTTTATATAATAAACTATGTGTCTATTTTGCTTTCATTTTTTATACAAGGTGTCCGTAAGTTTTGAAAAATATTATTGCTTTAAGATGCGGGTGTTGTGAGATTTGAATCCGTATTACATTGTTAACGTCATTAATAAACAACTTCCTCGATGCGATGCGAATCGGCGTCTAACAACACTTGCTACAAATTGTTAAATAACACCGAACCGTTCTCAGATGACATTGGACGCTACGTGCGCTGTTTACATGCAATTTGTTTTATTAAAACATGCATTGTATAATAAGTTGAATCCTTGAAACTTCATTTTTTTCTAATTTCAACCGGTCGAAATAAATTTTCTTATTTAAATTATTATCCAATCGCACCATTTTAAAAGTAGAAATCTGTATTTTAACTTTTCAATTGTTTTCTTTATCGTAGTGCGATTCGCATGCGCACTTTCTGTTAATTACACGCAGCGGCGCGATAAAGGCAAGTGGAACACGAATATGAGCTTTCTATAATCTCCAGCGCGTTTGAATGTTTGCGAACGCTTTTCAATTTCGATTAGTCATATTTTTATGTGAGTGAAGCGGCGCAAATTCGTTGTAATCGTGTTTTTCCAATAGAAATTGTATGCATTCGCGTTCCACATTCGATTATTTTCATTTTATAGTGTTTTGGACACATTGTGTGTACGCATGGGTCATTACCGCCCTTCTAGCCACAACGATCTTAATCGACGAAGTGCAAATTCTAAATAAATAATATATAATACACCATGTGTCTATCTCTTATAGTTTTCTTGTAAATTGAATTTAAAATTTTTCTGTTTTTTCTAGCAATTCTCTTGTATCGCATCTGTCGCTGCGGTCGCGGATCTACGTGAAACTACTGCACACTGTGTTCCACGCCTATACATACCATGCGTCGCAATTGGCTTCCTGGCCGTGCTTCGGATACACTTACATAACCTCCAAACGACCGGAACCCATTCCGAACTTTACTCGCTGCACAGCTGGATCAGCCTGGTCACCATGGGACTATTCGCCATTTCAGGTACATTATTTGGCCACTGCTCACAAAAATAAATTAAATAACAGCACATTAAATGGCACTAAATGACCTTAAGTGACATTATAAATTTAAAGCGCCTTTAAACAATCAGGCCGTAACGTCCGAATGAGTCATTAGATGTAATTGACGATGAATTGTAGCAAATTGTCTAATGGTCAACGCCTACTTTACCTAGACAGTGTTTATACAGAGTGTTTTTAGTGTTAAATATGTTTTTTATAGTTTGTAGCCGGATTCTTTAGTTTCCTGGTTCTGCTGTGCTGTGAGGGCGCCAACGCTGCATTCCGCGCCGCCATGGTACCAATTCACGCGTCATTTGGGTTGACTACCTTCTTCTTGGCCATTGCTGCCTGCGTCACTGGTCTCACTGAGAAGGTGCTCTTTACGTTAGGGTACGTATTGAAAAACATTAAATACACAACAAAACCACACAAATTTAATTATTTCTAACCTAAGTTAAGGATGTTTAAGTGTACTTAACCTTATTTTAACCTAAAATGCACTTTAGTGTACTTTATTAAGCTTTAGTAAGCTTAGAAATAGTTTCTGCATGCATACAGTATGTCTGTGAAGATCGTATCTCTGCATTGTGTCGTTGTGTTGATTTTCTGTTCGTTGTGTTTGCGCATGCGCAGCAATTCGTACAGCCGCCTGCCGGACGAAGCAATCGTCATCAATGCGATCGGCATGAGCCTCATCGGGCTGGGCATCATCGTGATATACATCCTCCTGCGGGACAGCTTCCGGTATCGGACACAGATGACCATTCGCGACCTCTAAGCCACGCCCCCCGCCGTCATTTGACGTCACATCACACACAAACACACATCGAAATCGGCGAAATCATCAAAACGCAGAAAGAATTTTTTATGGCAAATAAAAGCTACTAAAGCATCCACTCTATTCTTGCATCATCACACTCGTGTCGTGCGTGTTGCCTACGTTAACTTTTAATCATCGTTTTATACTCGATTTTACTAGCATAATTGTGAGCGACGATTCTAAATTTTTTTATTCATTGTTGTAGTCTGTAAGCCAACACTTTTTCTAGGTTAATGTAATCGATGGTAGGTATTAAAAATGGCGGACAAGTTATTTATTGCGATTGAATTTGTCTGTGAGCACGAATAAATTCGAAAATGGATGATATATACTCAAAAAGCGCTGGAATTGACTCTTGGTCAATAGATGGCGCTGCACGATTTTACAAAGAATGTGCGCCATATTTATTGTACGATTAACGCATCCGCATGTGTCTTGTTTTTTATTTTATTTTGAGTTTTTGTGTTTTATACTCTCTGTATACTGATTATTGGATTATACAGTAGGTTTAACGATAAGTATGCATTTGCTAAGATTACAATTTGGATTTATAAATGTAATAAATGACTGGTTACGAAGTTCAGAACGAATAAAAAGCATGTATTTTGATATATCCTGTTATGTTGTGTTTGTTGCCCGAGGAACATATGGTATGTCAGCATGTCATACATAATCTAATCTATAATAACTGTAAGTTATTTTCTAACCTAAAATTTTTTTTTGGGTTTTAAAATGGTTAAAACTAATTTTTGTCTTGTGGGTTGCCTATAGGGATAGCTATTCGAAGTTCCCCGAGCAGGCAATTGTGGTAAACGCCCTCGGGATGTGTTTCATCGCTTTGGGAATCCTTGTTTCCTTCGCCATTCGCATTCCCAATTTGGCTGGTGATAGCCAGGTGTTCGTCCCAGGCGGGCCTACGACCTCCTAGGGAATGGCCTGCGCCTCCAAGCAGACTCGGATCAAGGAGGTGAGCGAGAAACCCAAAAAAGAGAAACCTGTGAAAGAGCCCAAACCAGCCAAGGAGCCCAAACCAGCAAAGGAACCCAAAGAACCCAAACCACCCAAAGAAGAAAAACCCAAAAAGGAAAAGTCCAAGGATAAGGAAAAGAAAGAAAAGAAAAACAAGACCAAAGATGGAGAACAAGCTCCGCCAGCTGAGGAACCTCCTAAGGATGTCCCGCTTATTGAAGAACCCAAGTCTGTGACGAGCGAGAAAATGGCGCCGCTCGACGAATCACTCGAACGCTATTAGACGCATACAAAAACTATGCACACATGAAATAAACAACACGTACGTTCCAGTACATTTTCAACTTTTACTCTTTATACCAAAAACAAACCAAAAAAAAACGAGCATTAAAACATTACCAATTAACATAACCTAATCTTAAAGTATAGTAAAAATATGTAAGTGTGGTTGCATACGCCCAGCGAGCGTGTTCAATGTAAATAGCAACCTGTGTGACGGCTTTCCGTTTTGTCCGTCTGATACATTCAAAATGGCTGCTCAAAAAGAATCGATGTGAAATCAAAAAAAAAAACATAATTAAGGTTGAATAATCAAAAAGATTGTCCGATAGTTTAAACTACATAGTCACTGTCAACGTAAACAATTCTCTAGTGCAATCGAATGCTTTAAAACTTATCTATTACGTGTGTTATATTGATAAACAAGCAATACGAGCAAGCGTCGTGAAAATCCTTGGACGCTAGATGGCGTTAGATGAAGTTTTTGAATGTCCCTTAGATGTTGTCACTTCTATCCTAACCTATAACTTGACCCGTGTGTGTAGGCACACCACTTACAAGATGGCGGCCGGAAATCAGATGTGAAGTGTAAAATAAATACATATAGTACAATTTGTTTGAAATATGGACCAAGAACATGATGAAACAAAATGATGCGCATACATAAAAACACGAATATAAACAAGAATAATATTTAAACAAATGGAAATAAATGGAAACAATTTTATTGTACAATTTTTCGAATTTTATCTTATTGCTTGTTTAGGCGTATTGTGCGCACATGGCTGCGCACGATGCGCAGGAGTTAGTTATATACCAACTATTTATATTTATATTATACAAAAATATAGTTTATATTACTCTTTACAAATAATGTATAAACACACACACACACACACACACACACACACATGATGAAGACACATAACACATAACAACGGTCCATTTTTTAAGTTTGTGTTGTCGTTGAGAGAGTGGCGCCACCTGTTGTTCGGTAGGCCACGATTTTAGACTCTTTTCATCTTTGTACAAGTATTTAACGATATTGCGATATATATGTAAAACACGAGAAACAAACATGGACGAAGTTAACTGTAGAAATATTTATTAATGTGAATGCTATATTAGATTATTATACAATTTAACAACAATAGTGTATTTGCTATCACGTAGCTAAACGGAGTTTTAGTCACGGGATTGATTAATCATTCGAGTGTTTAATAACGTTTAGTCACGTGATGCTTACGCTATTTTTTCTACTTCCATTTTATTTCCACGATGAGTTTTTCATTTAAAGAAATTGGAAATTGGAAATTCGTGACGCGTTGACACAAGCTGCAGCTGCGCATGCGCAAACTCTACCCCATGACTAAAACCCGTGACTAAAGTACTTTAGTCACGGTTTTGTCTGTCTGTGTTTAAAATACCACTTTTTGTGTCTCCAAACCGTGGAAAACTGGAAGTAGAAAAACGTAATTAATTAATAATTAACAATTTACCATTTTAGACTCTGAAGTTTTGAGTGGAAATTTGAAACAAATTTATTATGTAATGATTTACGCTATGAGACTGTTTGTTAGATGAAATCTGTTTAAATTAATGCGCATTCAACGAATTTGTTGATTAATTTGATAATTTATTAATGATTATATACATGACAGTTGCTAAGAATATTTACGGATTAAATTGACAATTGAATAATTGATATTTACTAATATAAACAAATATTAATGGTGAACCAAATGCGCGTCCGTCGCGGCGCGTCTCATGTTAAACATGTAAAATGTAAACAATTAGTAGCGAGACATGTGCATATTACCATACAATACATTCGTATTAATAATAATAATCTTCTGTTATTTTTTAATTCCTTAAATCATTTTTGGAAACATCCTGTATATTTTTCTGGAAAATTATTTTTGGGTCGAAGGACAAGGTCGGACTTTTTTAGTTGAAAAATTTTTGGGTCGAAAGACAGGGTCGGACTTTTTTGTTAAAACATTTTTAGGTCGAAGGACAGGGTCGGACTTTTTTGTTTAAAAATTTTTTGGTCGAAAGGCAGGGGCGAACTTTTCGGTAAAAAAATTTTCAGTGCGAATTAAATTTTTTTCTTAAAAATGTTAATAGGGCCTAAACTATCAGTGCTAGAATAAAATTGTGCTGAAATAATTTAATCAGAATTTAAAAAATTATCAGAATCTGCCATCGAAATTGAAAAATTCCAACTTTTAATTTGTTATAAAAAATGAAAAAGTTTTGCCTTTTTTATGACGAAATCTTTTTCGAGTGTTTTCGACCTCAAAAAAATTGAAATTTTTTTATTGCAGCATATTGAAGAAAACGTGATTTTAAACACTTTTCCTTAGTAAATTTTTGTTCTAAGATACATCGTTTAGATAATAATCACCATAATAAAATTCGATTTTGTGCGAAGTCAAAATTTTTGTTAAAATTGCCAATAGGGCCTTAACAGTGAGTGCTATTGGAAAATTGTTCTTAAATAAATGAATTAAAATTCAATAAGTTATCCGAATCCGAAATCAGATTTGAAAAATTCCTATTTTTAATTCTGCATAAAAAAATGAAAAAGTTTTGCCTTTTTTATGACGAAATCTTTCCACGGTTTATGTTTTTTATAGCATAAAATTAAAAGTTGGAATTTTAAAATTTTTTCTTCGAATTATGATAAAACAGGCCATAATAAATCATTTATTTTAGTAAAGTTTTTACCTACAACCCTTATTTAAGGCCCTATTGACCAAATTGTATTCAATAGTTTTTTGCAAATATCTTCTAAACTATGCGTCTAATTAAAATAATTCATGAAAATATTCCATTCATATAATTGTCCTCTTTCATAATCAGCAATAAAACCTTAACTTTTTTAATTTATAAAAAACATGCAAAAAATTAACTAAAACATGGCGGAGGCGCCTGACATTTTATCACGTAATTTTAATTATTGTTAAAAATTAACAATACCATTACGTAGGGCGGCTCTTAATACACTTATAAATTAAACTTCTTACTAATTAGTACTTACCGTTTACCCAGTAGAAGCATTTAAGTGAATCGTATACTTCCAGCAACACTTAATCACCGATTATCTCCGTAACTAATTGAGATATACAAAAACGGAGAATTGCATTGTGTTCAGCAAACCATTCTACATATGATAAGCTTTTAAAATTTCTACTTTTGAAAAGTGAATAGTGAATTTTCCGACGCGATTTTCTCGGAAACTATAAGAGTTGCAGAAAAACTTTTTGTACTTTCTTCATGTCCTGATAAGGATCTATAAAATGGCAGATTCAGTTTTTTGATTCTATGATGTCAACCAAAAACCACTTGAAAAGTATCAAGAGGTTACACTTAAGTATTTTGTGGCCTAAAAATTGAACTTCAAGCTACAGGAAAATGGAAAACGCCATTCGATACAGAATTGCAATGCGATGAAAGATATCCAGTCAGTTTTCTGATAACACCAATATTTCCCAAATTACCTGTCAAAACTGAAACAGGCCAAAAGAACCACAACTCAGATTTTCTTCAAATTTTCCAATATGATGTAGAATGATGCCCTGAATCCATTTATTTAAGTTTTGTTTCGATATCTTAATTAGTTCTTGAGTTATTGACCACTTTCAATTATTACATAAGTGTAGAAAATTTAATATTTTTAAGTACTAGATGATGTATAATTATGTCCTGAATCTGAATCTGAAAACCGTTTTTCTTTATCTTTATTAATTTGCGAGAAAAGCGCGATAAACTGGATTTTCAGTTTTCTCCATCATTTTATATGTAAAATCTAAAATGGAAAATTTTAATTTTTAATGGTAAAATATGGAAGAAATTGTGATTCTGGTTACCTTATTTTAGTAAAATTTTCTTATCAGACTGATTATTTTGATAATAATCAGTATTTAAGTTGTTGTAACAAAATTGTCAATAGGGCCTTAAATACTGGTCGCAGAAGAAAAATTAACTAAAATAAATGATTTATAATCTTTTGTTTTATCATAATCCGAAGAAAAAATTTCAAAATTCCAACTTTTAAATTTATGCTATAAAAAACATAAACCGTGAAAAGATTTCGTCATAAAAAAGGCAAAACATTTTCATTTTTTTATGCAGAATTAAAAATAGGAATTTTTTAAATCTGATTTCGGATTCGTATAACTTATTGAATTCTAATTATTTTTACTTCAGAACAATTTTCCAATAGCACTCACCGTTTAGGCCCTATTGGCAATTTTAACAAAAATTTTGACTTCGCACGAAAACAATTTTTAATATGGTGATTATTATCTAAACGATGCATCATAGAACAAAAATTTACTAAGATAAAGTGTTTAAAATCACGATTTCTTTAATATTCTTCCATAAAAAAATTCAATTTTTTTTGAGGTCGAAAACACTCGAAAAAGATTTCGTCATAAAAAAGGCAAAACTTTTTCATTTTTTATGCAGAATTAAAAATTAGAATTTTTAAAATCTGTTTTCGGATTCGGATAGTTTGTTTAATTCTGCTTAAATTATTTCAGAACAATTTTTTTCTAGCACGGATCGTTTAGGCCCTATTGATATTTTTAAGAAAAAATTTTAATTCGCACTGAAAAATTTTTAACCGAAAAGTGCGCCCCTGCCTTTCGACAGAAATTTTTTTTAATATAAAAGTCCGACCCTGTCTTTCGAGCAAAAATTAAAATTTCAGCCTGTTTTTAAAATTACAAATTTCGTTTTAAAATAAAGTTTGCTTTAGTTTTTCACGGAAACTAATTTTTACGATAATTTGGACTCTGTTTTTCGACCAAATTAAGAAAAAAAACGTTGAAAATAGCTATTTTTGATGAACATTTTGGAGCACTTCCCAAGGGTTAAGAGGGTCAAACATAGACTCAAATTAAGGAGGGTCTCTTGAACTATCCAATGATGCAGAGAAAATTAAAATCCCTTGATTACTTTAGGAGATACAGGGAGTTTTCCGCAGTAAGTTTTAAGAATTTTAGAAAAATGACAACTTTTGGAGGACATTTTAAGGGTTTAAAGGATCAAAAGTAAGTACAACTTATAGAGTGTGTTTTTAGCTATCCAGTGACGTATTGAATCTTAAAATGGTTTAATTGGTATAGAAGATACAGAGTGTTTTGCAAGCATTAAAAATGATCAAAAAATAACAACATTTGATAGGCATTTTAAGGCACTTCCCAAGGGTTCAGGGGACTTAAAATAAACTCATATTAAAGAGAATCTTTCCCACAATCCAACAGTGCAAGAAAATTCAAAATCCTTTAATCGGTATAAAAGATATAGGGTGTTTTATACAACAAGTGTAAAAATTTTGAGAAATATAAAAACTTTTGATTGGTATTTTAGGGTACTTCCCAAGGGTTTAAAGAGTTGAGAGTAAACGTAGATTGTAGAGTGTCTTTAGAGCTATTTAATGACGTAAAGAGACCAAAAATGCCTTAATTTGTATAGGGGATATAGAGTGTTTTGGATAGCAAGTTTAAAAATTTAAGACAAAATACAACTTTTGTTGGGCATTTTAGGGCACTATACAAACAGTTAAAGGGTTGCAAGTAAATACAATTTACAGAGGATCTCCTAAACAATCTAACAATGTATGGACACTTAAAATTTTCTAATTGATATAAGACAATATAAGGAATTTTCGAATGTTTTCTACTTGAAACACAAATATTTAACAAAAAATGTTATCTATTTATCAATTATAATAAAGCTTAACTCTATAATTAAGTACTATTATGAAAAATGATTGATAATAAGTCAAACAAAACAAAATTCCTATTTAGATATATTTAATCCAAGGCTGGCCAATGGATTTTCCTGGAGGGCAAAATCTTTTAGATTGCGGCGGCACCGGGCCACAGACTATGGCCATTCATACATAAAATCTTATACATATACAAAAGTTCCAACTTTGGGTTTTGCGGCGGGCAAATTCAAATGTCCTGGCGGGCCACTTTGTGGCCCGCGGGCCTGGGATTGGCCAGCCATGATTTAATCGCTTTTAATCATCACTCACAATCATCATTTTGTCGTAATTCTAGGATTCTACGTTATTTTCAGCACCTAGAAACACCTTGAAACCTCAATTAATCTCCTTAATCATAACAAACATAAATTCCTATCGTCACAATCAAATTAATTAAGTTCTATTCTAGGACATAGATTATTACCGGACTTTGCAAAGTATCGAAAAATATAATAAAACATAATAATAAGTCATTTTTTTGTATTTTTTGTTTTACAATACTTAAACAAAATCAATATCCGAGTTTGTGATGGTCCAACAGACGCAGACAGTAAATACTGTTTCGTCCTATGAGGACTCATCAGTACGACTACGCTGTGCCATCACTAACCAACCGGAATTTAGTAGAATCTTTTTCAGCATAAACAATACGACGCACTTTTAAAGTCAACCATAATAAACTCAAAGACATCGCCACAACACACATGCATAAACTTGCAAATATAACATTCAACTTATAATAACCATCTAGACTGATAACGACATCACCAATATTAGCTCTCAATGTTGAATACTCACAACCGACAACTTTAACATCTTCTTCTTCTTTTTCTACTACTTCTACTTCCGCTTCTAGTTCTACTTCTTGATGTACTTCTGCTTTAACTTCTTTTTCTTGAATAATGGCTTCAAAATTTAAAGCTTTGACCACTGGAATATTCTCCAGAGCTGTACATTGATAATCAGCTGTTGTGGAAGAATTCTCAGGCTCGTAAGTTATCCTGAACGTAAACCTTGAATGCCTCCTACATATCTCCTCCAATCCATCACCATTATACTTCGCAAACCGGAAATCAATCAGTCTTAACCTTGGAGTTTCCAAGATCAACTTATCAATAGTATTATTAGTCAAGTATAGTTTCTCTAAACTAGAAGACTTGATATGCACAGTGCGTAAATCAGAATTGTAGGATAAATCAACCCTTTTTAAGTTAGGCAACTTCTTAGACAAATCCCAGTCAATCTTGGTTAATTTATTTCTCTCCAAAAATAATTTCTGCAATTGTGGTAACCCATTAAAATCTTCACCTTCAATCTCCTGGATTAGATTGTTGTTAACCTCAAGATAGGTTATACTCTCAGAATAGACATTCAGACGTTCCAGACTGTTGTTAGATAAGTACAAATGTGTCAAGTTTGGTAAACTAATGAAATCATCATCTTCCAGTGCTTCAATCCCACGTGATTCCAAATTCAGATCGGTTTCATTTATGGATTTCTCCGGGTCAAAGAGCATGACTCCCCTGCTAAGTGGGATGCCTACCATGAACAGCAAAATCCACCATTTTCCAAAATGTCTTCCATTTCCATTCGCAAGTAATAAAAACAATCCAAGAAGTAATATGGTGCTTAATGATTGTAATTTATTACCAGATGATCTTGTTTCCTTTGGTGATTCTAATTCATTACCAGATGATGTTGTTTCCTTTGGAGTTTGGCGTAAGCATGGATTCCCATTGAATTTCTCCAGTTTTTCCAACTTGGTACATACTTCTTCATGTGAAGAAGTAAAATAAGGACCTGTGATGTTCAACGTTTTCAATTCCTTCATAATGTCCAATATTTGATTTTCTTTTTGTGGTAGTGTTGTTAAGCTGCAGTTTTTTAAGCTGAGATGTTGGAGGGAAATCTCTGCGTCGCCATCAAGTCGTTCAATTGGATTGTTATCCAGAATCAATGTGACCAAACGATTGAGGTTTACCACCCAGATCCAATTAAATGAAGGCAGGTTTAATTGGTCCAACCTCAGATATTGCAAGGATCTAAAGTCGTCGAATTCCTCCAGGTTAGGATTTCCTTTTTTGAGAGATAGTTTGCAGTTGTTGATGATGATATTTTTTATATTATCTTTATCATTATAGTCTACCAGGTCTACCCAGTTTTCGTTTAAAATGTTCGGAGATGGTCCTGTGATTATTAAAAGTGTCGAATTTTTCGGCAGTTTTCGAATCTTCTCTTCGCAGATGAATTCATTTTCCGTTTCGGCTGTGGGCACGGCTTTTGTAAAGACTTTGCTAAAATTCCACGAAATGAATATTAATTTGAGTGTTTTGTTGAGTGATTAAGCATGATTGCGACACGTAGACGCATGATTATTGCGACTCAAACAAAGGTAGATATCAGTAGAGATAACTTACTTAGCAACATAAATTTTATTAGAGTTTTTTTTTTTTCAACAAAAGCAATTACAGAGAAAATTTAAAGAAAGCGTTTATATTCTTTGTATTTAATTTAATTAATAACAAAATAAGAATATAGGTTATTATAGGTTACCTAATAAGACGTGAATCTGTTAAGGAAATATTACTGAGTGGGTAAAATGTTGTATATTAGCTCAGTGTTTTGTATACTAATGAAATTAGAGTTAATTTGAATGGAAACTTACCAAAGTACGAAAATGAGGAGGAAAACAACGGCTCCCTTCATTTCGTTTGAGAATTTAGATTATTTAGACACGACTGTACCTCACGATATCGTATACGTTAGTGTTTAACGAATGATACGGTGATGATAACAGAGTTTGTGTAAAATGATCGTTTGTGCAAACATTTCAGTGGGATAAATCGATATATCGATAAAAATGTAAGTATATATCACCTCTCTATTAATTTTTGTAATACATATTATATATTATTATATATACATTATTATATATTATATATATATATATACATATTTGTGATAAATATTAATAAATCAAGATTTGACAATTTATAAAAAGCATATTGTCTAGGAAATTTCTCAGTTATATTGGTGCTATGATTCGAATATCATCAAAATTTAATTCAGTTACTGTCAATGCTTTCGAGCTGAAACTTAAACATGTTTTGTACTTTAACCACATAAAAACTTAAATAAATAAATATCTAGGAAGAAAATAAAATCAACAATTTAATAAATATCGCAGGTAATTAATTTGACACTATAATTCACGTTTAATTTCATTTATATTAAAGTAAGTTAATAATAATATTAAAAAAAAAAAAGAAATTTAAAATTCAATTTTACTTTTTATTATTTTATGAAAACAATTTACAAGAATAGAATTAACACTATTAATAATATTCCTTGGATTGCAGGTAATAATCTTGTATTTTCATTATTTTCTAACTTTTCATTAATATTCCTTATTTCAACAGTTTGACGTTGCGAGCAAGGCTTCTCATTAAACGCTTCCAAGGACTTCAATTCTTCACACGGATCAATATGATCTTCAGAATTATCATCAATATATAGATATTTTAAATGTTTCATAATATGCAGAGTGGTGTTGGGTATACTCTTCAACATGGTATTTTTTAAACTTAAAGTCTCCAATGAAATTTGCGCATCACTGATCAACTCCTCAATTGGATTATTATCCAAAATCAACGTTTCCAAACGTGGATTGTTTGCTATAAAAGACAAATCAAATCGAGTTAAATTTATTTGTGTTAGTGATAATAATCTTAGGTCGCTAAACTGATGGAAGACATTATCACAAAAGTCCTTGCAACAGCACACTCTCATCGTCTTGGTGGGATCCCGATCCAATGGCTGAAGATGTTTCGGCAGCTGTGGCTCACCTTTTCCACATACGAGCACATTAAGCAGTTCTCTGCCACCTGGCACGTCATGCATTTTTGTATCGCATCTGTGCTGCTGACTATTGACAAGCAACAGAAAGCTTAAAATGCTGAAAAATGAAAGAATTGATGATGTGGTGAAGAGAACAATTCGCATTATCGAAATTAATTCAGTTTCTTACCAATATAAGGCAAAGAGAGTTTGTACCGTCATTCCACAGGGACCACACCCATGAAAATGCCGGGATAATCGCAACAGACTGTTTACAGATTTTCTATCTGTATTTGTTTATGATAAACCGAGATTAGCGTATTTTTTATCCGGAGCACACAGCTCACAGGTTTCCATTGATGCCCAGATGAATCGTCGTCACTTCGTTGTTGTAACAATTCCTTAGGAGGTATCCTATACATTGCTCGATTGCAACGTCTACCATTAAACATCTCCAAAGAACCGAATTTTGAACACACTTCTTGGTGACTAGCATGAAAATACTCCCCAGAAATATTTAACACTTTCAAATGTTTCATAATGTCCAACGTTGCATCAGGCATCATCCGCAAACTAGTATTCCTTAGACTCAAATTCTCCAATGTAATTTGTGCATCGTTAAACAAATTATCAATTGGATTATGGTCCAAAATCAGTGTGCGCAAACGAGGGTTGTTCGCGACAAGAGAAAAATTAAAACTATTTAAATTCATTTTTGTCAGGGACAACAATCTTAAGTCGCTAAATTGATTGAATACATTATCATTAATTTCCTGACAATGGCAAACTGTCATCGTCTTGGATGGATCCTCTTCGTCGTCCATAAGATCTTTGGGCATTGCTGGTACATCATTCCCACATACTACAAATACATTGTCGAGTTCACGTCCATCAGGCACGTCGCGTATTTTTAAGTCACATTCAGCATTGATTTGCACCAAATATATGGACGCCCTGAAACACAAACGATGAGATAAAAATCATTATCAAAGTTATATCTTATTCTAATTTGATATTATTTTCATCGCAGAATACGAAATTTATTTTTAATGTAATATTTTTAATTTGTTTGTCTTACCAGTATATCCAAAAAGTAATGTAAAATATCATTTTACAAGGATTCTTATGTCGGTTTTCTTAAAACTATCACACTTTTTAGAGCTCTTTATTGAAGGTGAACCAAACTATACAGTTTACAAAATTATATTGGTGCGTTGTTTAAATTTGAAATATTATTTATTAGATTACACAGGATATTGTGAAAACATTATTGCTATGTTTATAGTTTTATTAATTCAATTAATCAATAATCTGAAGGATCGATAAAGTTAAAACATAATAACCATCTTTATTATAAAGCTAGATATAAAAAATTAAAAATTAATTCTAAAAAAATCCCAAATCTCAAAATTACAAAATATTAAATCACAATAATTCATCAACAAATCACATGGTACTCGTATTTAAAAATGCTTCCAACATTAATTTTAAATTAAACAAGAAAAAACTGTTTTCCCACTTTTTTGCCTTAAAATCACAGAAACTTGATGAATACACTCTTGATTACCACATAACTAACAAACACATCCACACAAAATTAAACTAATAATGCCTACGGACAAGGACAGTCCAATATTCCACACTGCCCATCAATGCCACACACAAAAAAAAAAACGAATTAAAAACACTAATGCGTTCAACGTTCACAAAAATACGAGTACAACGATAATGAATCTTATCGCGCACAACTTAAATTGTTATATTAGTCCCACACGCAAACACAAGCAAAAAAAGATAATAAACAGATTAAAACACAATCCAATCCAGTCTATTACAAGTAGATATGTATTAATAAAACATGCGTACGTGAGAGAACAACCAGTGGAACCGCACAGACTCATAAGCACCAATCAATACGAGTAGATCAAGTGGCACTGCTCATTGAGCAATTATTCGAGCGGACAAAGTGTAAAGTACGTCATTGTGTACGTAAGTACCGCGTAAACTTTGAAGAGAGAGTGCAAAGTGTCCGAGAGTCGGGAGCTGCGCATGGTAGGAGCATCACGATCATAAATTTAGTTTCACTCTTGCTCAGTCAGTCATCAGACACGAAACTGTGCAGAAAAGTGTAATTAAAACAAAACCAGTGGTGAAAAACAACTAAAAAACAATTAAAACTTATACAAAATGGAAGTACTTGAGGATTTACCGCATGGTCCATTGGACAGGTACAGAAATCGTGCTTCATTCGACTGGAAAAAGATGCGGCTGTTTTTAGAAAGTGAAGATCTTGTCAGGTACAAAGTAAGTAACGCCATCTATGTTTATCCTTTGTAAGTTTTTATATATTAACCTAATATAACCTTTTCTGTAAAAATTAATATAGAAAAGTTTAGTTGATGTTCTGCAAAGTGATCCACTCTATGACCCAAATAATTCCGACCGATTGTCTTTCGATGAACATCGGAGGCGGTCAATGCTCCGTATGAAAGCAATCGGTGACAGAAAAGAATTCGCGATTGAGAATTTCATCGCTAATTTTACCAACCTCGCCGGGTACTTCGAGGTGCTCTTCTCTTGGGACCCTAGTGTTGGTGTCACCAGCGGACTGAAGATGTCGCTGTTCTCTAATGTGATCAAAACACTAGGGACTGAACAACATATGCATCTTGCTGATGCTTCGGATAATAATGAGTTGTTAGGTTGTTTTACGCTGACGGAAATCGGGCATGGGTCAAATACAAAAATGATGCAGACTAAGGCAACGTATGATAAGGATTCGCAGGGTTTTGTGATTCATTCGCCGAATTTCGAAGCGGCGAAGTGTTGGAGTGGATTGTTAGGTCAGAATGCAACGCATACGGTGTTGTATGCGCAGTTGTACACGCCAGATGGCGTTTGTCATGGTTTACATCAGTTTATTATACAGATCAGGGATACCACTACACATTTACCGCTGCCAGGGGTTATTATTGCTGATATGGGTCCTAAAGGTGGTATGAATGGGATTGATAATGGGTAGGGTGTTTAAAACTTAGTAAAAATGAGGTTATGTTTGATTTTTGACGTATTTTTAGGGTTATGATGTTCAATAACTATCGTGTACCAAAATCAGCACTTCTAAATCGTAATGTTGATGTTTCACAAGATGGCGTTTACATGCCGAAGTTAAAAGACCCTAAAAAGATGTTTGGATCATCCCTGCATGCATTATCCGTGGGTAGGATCAACATAACCTGTATCTGCTCCACGTTTCTGTCAAAATGTATCAGTATTGCTGTTCGTTATGCCGCTGTACGTAAACAATTCGGTCCTGAGGGATCCAACGAAGAAATTCCCATCTTAGAATACCAACTACACGTAAATATTTATTTAAAACATAAAAAGACATAACCTACATTAACCTAAAAATAATTTTGACAGCAATATAGGTTAATCCCGTATATTGCCAACGCGTACGTAACCAAAGTCTTCTCCTACTTTATCGTCGCAGATAATGTAGAAGCAACTGTCGAGAAGTACATGAACATGGAGAAACCGGATGTCGCTGAGCGTGGAATTGAAATCCATGCGATTTCCTCAGCGTGTAAACCATTCGCTGCGTGGTTAACACAGAATGCTATTCAGGAGTGTCGTGAAGCATGTGGTGGACATGGCTACCTCAAAGCTTCCGGTTTGACGGACATGCGCGGGGATAACGACGCGAACATAACCTATGAGGGAGAAAATAATGTGTTGATTCAACAGACGAGTAATTGGTTGCTGAAATTCTGGCCCCAAGCGTTGAGGAATGAACCAATCACAGCGCCTTATAATTCCATCAACTTTTTAAGTAATGCAGTGCAATTACTCAAAGAAAAATGTGGTTTTAATACAACTGAAGAGTTTATCCAACCGGAAAGTAAGTTATTTTAATTATTTTTGAGGTTAAAATGATTTGGAGGTTAATATAACCTATTTTTGTTTATAGATGTGATCAAAATGTACCAATGGCTGATAAGTCACTTACTTAAAGTGAGTTATGAAAGACATCAACGTAATATGTCTCAAGGTCAAAGTTCATTTGATGCAAAGAATAATAATCAAGTGTTTTTCGCTAAAGATTTAAGCATGGCGTATATACAGGTTAGTAAAGTTGCCTAACACAACATAACCTTACTTATAACCTATATATTTCCACAGCACTTCTTTTTGTTGACTTTTAACAAGTTTATTCAAAATTGTGAAGACAAAAACATGAAATTGGTGTTGACACGTCTCGGGTCTCTCTTCGGGTTGTTCCATCTGGAGAAACAAGTCGGCCATCTTTACCAAGGCGGATATTTCCAAGGGGATAAACCTAGGGTGCTTCTACAGGAAGCCATTTTGAGTTTATGTGGGGTTTTGAAGGATGATGCTGTTACTTTGGTGGATGCTATCGCTCCGGATGACTTTTTGATGAATTCTGTGTTGGGGAAATCCGATGGACAGGTTTATCAACATTTACAGAGGTCTATACTAACAGGAGAAGGTAGTTTGACAAGGGTAAAGTGGTGGGATGAAGTTGTATGCAAAAAGAAGGCGAAATTATAAAATATAAAGCCAGGGAGGTGAAAAAAACGACAAAAAACTATTGTAACTTGTAAAAGACTTGAAAAAGGTTGTGGATATTTTATAAATGTTAATCAATAAAGAGTTTATATATTATTTTAAGTGTATTAAGTTACCTATTATTAAAAAATAACATAAATCTAACCAAAATAATAAAAAATTTTAAAAGCAATAAAAATTGGTGTATTTTATGTTGCCTATAATAAAAGCTCTACTTAAGCTCACTTTTTACATCTACGTTGACATAGTTAACCTCTGTAACATACTTAAGTCAGAGCTTTAAGTGACTTAAGCCTTGCGATGTAAATAAACGTTATCAATTCGAGTGGCATTTATTTTTGATGTCTAAAACCACGCGATATGATGATTACAGCAGTCAAAGTGCAAAGAATACGCAAACGAATGAATTTTTGAGTGTTTTTGTTTAATATCTTTTGTTAATTGGCTCTGACTTGCAAGTTTCGCCATAATCAAACCATTCTAGGACACTACAATGCTATAAAACACCTACTACGCATACCTATCATTCGATTCACTTGAATTAATTGCAGGCGAGTTGGTAAACTGGTCTGTGATTGAGTTCAAAAGTTCAAGAGTGGCTATTGAATTGAATTGCGGAATCATTAATGTTGTGAACATACAACTAGCAACAATTGTGAAAGTGGAGTGAAACAAAATGGAGCTGTTGAAGAGTTTTAAGCCTGGGCCTTTGGACCATTATCGAAGACTGGCTTCTTTTGATTGGAAAAAGTTGAAAGTGTTTCTCGAGACTGAAGATATCATTAGATACAAAGTAAGAATATAAATATTGATTGATCGAAAGGTTAAAAATGATTTTTTTGCTTTCAGCATGAAATTGTTCAATTTCTTAAAGCAAATCCCATTTGTTATCCATCGTATAAAGAACAAAGCTTGGATGAAACCAGACATATTGCTTTGATGAGGATGAAATGTCTTCAGACAAGTGAAATTATTAAATATGTTAATATGGTGGATAATCCATTGAAATTGTGGGCTTGTTATGAGACACTCTTTCAATGGGACTTTGGTACTACTGTTAAATACAGTCTGGATTCAGGAATGTTTCCAAATGTTGTGAGAAACTTAGGAACTGATGTCCATTATGATATTGTACAACAAATTGAAGACCGCAAGGTAAATTTAAGTCATTTTAAGTAAAAAATTACAAAAAATGATTTAATTATTAATTAATAACTAGATTGTGGGTTGTTTTGCATTGACTGAAATCGGCCATGGTTCCAACGTGAGTTCCATGCAAACCAAAGCGACTTTTGACAAAGAACGCAATGGTTTTGTCCTTCATTCGCCATCATTTGAAGCAGCAAAGTGTTGGAGTGGTGTTCTTGGTCAATGCGCAACACATGCGGTTGTTTATGCGCAGTTGTACACTGCTGATGGTAAACACCATGGTTTACAACAATTTGTTGTGCAAGTTAGAGATGCGGATACGCATCTAGCGCCACCTGGTGTTGTTGTGGCGGACATGGGTGCCAAAGTGGGGTTAAATGCAATTGACAACGGGTAAGTCACTTTTACTGAGTACCAACAGCCCGGGTAGCTCAGTCGGTAGAGCATTGGACTTTTAATCCAAGGGTCCAGGGTTCAAGTCCCTGCTCGGGCGTGTGTTTTGTTATTTGTTGTTTTAACACGTAAATATTTTAGTCTTGTTATTTTTAATAATTATTTCGTCCCGAAATCTGCGCTTTTAAATCGTAATGGAGATATAAACGAAAATGGCGAATATGTTTCCCGGTTTAAAGACAAATCCAAACAGAAAGGAGCTGCGTTATCTGCGCTATCTTCAGGGAGGATTAGCATTACCAATATGGCGGCCGTGGCTTCCGGTCAGGCTGTAATGATTGCAGTGCGTTATGCTGCTGTGCGTAAACAATTCGGTCCTGAGGGATCAAATGAAGAAGTTCCTATCTTGGAATATCAAACACATGTAAATAAACCTAACCTAACTCAACCTAACCTAATTTTCCAGCTATCTAACGTCATTTCCGTTTTTATTTTTGACAGCAACATCGTCTTCTGCCATACCTTGCAGGCGCTGTCATTTTCAAAGCATTTTCACGTTATTTGGTAACAGATAACTTCCAAAACAGCATTGATACACTCCTGGGTAACCCACGCGCAGACGCAAACGAACGCGGAATGGAAATGCACGCCATTTCATCCGCATGTAAACCAGTCGCTGGTTGGTGGGCAAAGGAAGCTATTCAGGAGTGTCGTGAAGCATGCGCAGGACATGGTTACCTCAAAGCTGCGAGATTTGGGGAATTGAGGAATGATAACGATGCGAATTGTACGTATGAAGGGGAAAATCATGTTCTTATACAACAAACAAGTAACTGGTTGTTGAAATACGCGCCTGTGGTATTACAAAATGGTGGACAACAACAACGTGTGACTACACCTTATGAATCGTTAAATTTCTTAACGAATTTCAAGGAGATTATGGGAATGAAGTGTAATGTTGAGAGTATTGCACAAATGTCAGCACCAGAACGTAAGTAACACTTTGACTTAACCTATATTAACCTAGAAATGGTAAAGTTGTTGTTTTGTTAAGAGAAACAGAGCCCGGGTAGCTCAGTCGGTAGAGCATTGGACTTTTAATCCAAGGGTCCAGGGTTCAAGTCCCTGCTCGGGCGAATCTTTTTAATTTTTAATATTTTGTTTATTTTTACAGAAATTTTACATATGTATCAATGGCTTGTCTGTTACCTACTGAAAATTAGCCATGAGAAACACGAACGTAACCTACAATGTGGTAAAGATGCTTTTTGGGCGAAGAACGACAATCAAGTGTATTACAATCGTACATTAGCGGTTGCCTATATACAGGTAACCTCAAAATTTGTACAATTTTTAATTTTAATCTTAAATACTAACATTTTTTAATGTTTTTAGCACTTTATCCTGTACCGTTTCCTAACCTTCATCAACGAATGTGAAGAACCTTCCCTCCGCGTTGTTCTAACCAAGATTTTCAGCCTCTACGCTTTGTTTAACCTTGAAAGACATTCCTCTTTCTTATACCAAGGCGGATATTTCCACGGAGAGAAACATAACCAACTTTTACAAGATTCCATCTTATTATTATGCAAAGAACTAAAAGATGACGCTGTAGCAGTGGTAGACGCCATTGCTCCCGATGATTTCATCCTAAATTCTATTTTGGGCAACTCTGATGGTCAAGTATACGAACACTTGAAAAACTCCATCTTTCAAGGTGAAGGAAACCTGACTCGACCAAAATGGTGGCATGATATCATCCACAATAAACACAACACATCAAAATTATAAAAAATAAGAGATTTTTAGGTTAATGTACAAAATATGCGATTTTTTAACGTTTTTATCAATCAATTGTTATTATCTTTATATTATACATTTATAAACGTGTTCCCGGGACCATAACTAAGTGTAATTAACATTTTTATGATTTAAATTAATTACTGACGATCTCTAAGATCTTTTTTCATGTATCTATCGAGGAGTTTCTCACCTTCGGGATCAAAAACGGACAGTTTCCTGTAATTTTCATCGTCGACAAAGCAGATTTCATGACCGTCGGGATCAGCAAGGATTACCACACGAACTGTGGCTTTTCCAGGAGTGTCTAAGGAAATCAAAGAATTTAAAACAGTTTCATTAGCGGCTTTGACACGAGCATCAACGTCTTCTTGTTGGTTGAAAGGAATGGTGAAAGCTATACGCCCGTAAGCTTGAGCACGGTTTAAGGGCTCATCTGGAGAAGAAAAGAAGAAAAAACATTGTTAGGTGATAGGTAAAAAGGTAAAAAATGTTTTTTTAGTTACCTATAAGTTGTAATTCCAATTTTGCTTGCTCTGGAGCAAATCCCACAGTGACCTTGTTTTTCTCCTGATGATAAATGTCCAAACCAAGTAACTTATGCCAATAGGCAATGGATCTTTCAAGATTTGTACTGGCAAGTGTCACTTTTTGAACAGGATCTTAAAACAACATCAAAAAATCGTTTTTTGACATTTTCCCTCCAAAAATCAAGCAAATACCTTGATCAGTTGGTTGTGGTTCATCCAAAATAAAAAACCTATACCCATCTGGTGCTTTCAACACATTCCCTTCATGAATAGGATAATCATGTTGCTTTGCTCTCTCCAAAGCCTCTCTACTCTTGATTGTAATCCCAATAAAGTCATTGCCAAGGTCATACTGCTTCACAGGATAATTGTAGGTCAACTCAACAACAAAATGAGTATCTTCCGAGCCATAACCAACCATAGTCTTACTCCAGCGGTTAGCATACGGTCTAATAATAAATAAAATCAAAACAACCAAAATCAACAATGTGTGTTGATTTCTTACCCATTGCAAGTCGCCTCACAACCATCAGCGAATTCTTCATGACGCAAAACTTTCATGCCGAGAATATCGCGGTAAAAGTGGCTTGTGGCATTGCGATCGCCAATTTTAAAGACGTAATGAAGAGCACGACCGGCTAATTTCGACATTTTGAGAGTTATTTAATTGTTTATAGTGTATTTTGTGTTATAGAGCAAAATCGTGACTGAACTGAAGTGGAACGGAGTGAAATGTGGAAATAAATCGTTAAAATCACTCCGAGAACGAGTGTTCAGGTGTAATAATGTGTGACCTTGTTAAATAAGGAGGATTTGTGTTTATTGTGGGCAATAATCGACAGACACGGTGATAAATTATTTATTATCGTGTGAAAACAGCTGTTTTCTATATTGTTGCATAGTTGATTCAATAATTCGACTTAAGATGGCGCTGCAATATTCAATATAAGTTAAATTTGTTATCTTTTTGCAGTGGGAAAGTTTCTGCTACTCGCTGGAACTCTCCCCGTGGCTATAAGATAGGATAGTTAAAACGTAAATCTGAGAGATGAAATTTTCATTCTTAAGAAAAAAATTGCCAAGGGGGGGTGCTTGATACTTTTTTTCGACGATTTTTGAAAATTCATATCTCTTAAACTAAACGCGATAGCAACCTACAAATAGCTGATTATGAAAGATTGGAAAATTCTCTATCAGATAAAGATATAAAATAATTATATTTCCAACAGTAAAAGGCCTAAAAACGCGACTAAAAGTGCTAAAAAGTGAAATTTTGCAATTTTTGATGATTTTCTTCAATCGCGAATATCTCGAAAACTAAAAGAGATAATTAAGATCTGATCGCAGCATCTTAATCTACGGACCATTTTCTATAAGATAGGATCACTCCTAGAACGAGTGCTCAGGTGTAATTGTGTGTGACCTTGTTAAATAAGGAGGATTTGTGTTTATTGTAGACAATAACCGACAGAAACGGTGATAAATTATTTATTATCGTGTGAAAACAGCTGTTTTCTATATTGTTGTATAGTTAATTTAATAATTCGACTAAAGATGGCGCTGCAATATCCGATATAAGTTAAATTTGTTATCTTTTTGCAATGGAAAAGTTTCCGCTACTCGCTGGAACTCTCCCGGCGCCAGATTAACTTTTAACTTATAGAATTAAATTTTTTGCAGGATATTACTAAAGTAATAGAGTAATAAGTAATTACTAAGATGCTCCCAAGGTTCTGGCGAATCCTGTGAGGATGTTAGCTGTTGCAGATTGTGCAAATTGCACCCGACGCATGGGTGTAATACTGCAGCAGGAAAACCTGCTGTTACCGGTGCTGTGATAATGAAACTTGTCGGTTGGGCGCAGCGCGCAACGACTAATTACGGCTTATTGCAGCGCATCTAACCGTATTAGGTGCAGCGGGGATGGGGCCGTGCACGTGCTGTGCACCCTCAACGAAAATTAAACGTTCGTCGAGTCGTTGAGTGTGTGATTACAACGATCGCATCATCGGAATCGGTGAGAATTACGTTTTAATGATGAAATGATGAAATCGAAGTTTTAGCTTTGATTTTGAAGTCAGCGTCGCGGATAATTAGCAATAAATTATTAATTGTTTATTGTAGCGTGATGAAAATTTGTTTTTTTGTTCTATGATTAATGTGTTACAAATTTTATTCAATCGCGAATATCTCGTAAACTAAAAGAGATAATTAAGATCTGATCGCAGCATCTTAATCTACGGACTATTCTCTATAAGATAGGCTAGTTAAAACGGAAATCTGAGAGATGAAATTTTCATTCTTAAGAAAAAAATTGCAAAGGGGGGGTGCTTGATACTTTTTTTCGACGATTTTTGAAAATTCATAACTCTTAAACTAAAAGCGTTAGCAACCAACGAATTGCTGATTATGAAAGAATGGAAAATTCTCTATCAGATAAAAATATAAAATAATTATATTTCCTACCGTAAAAGGCCTAAAAACGCGATTGAAAGTGCTAAAAAGTGACATTTTGCAATTTTTGACGATTTTTTTCAATCGCGAATATCTCGTAAACTAAAAGAGATAATTAAGTTCTGATCGCAGCGTTTTAATCTACGAATTATTCTCTATAAGATAGGCTAGTTAAAACGGAAATCTGAGAGATGAAATTTTCATTCTTAAGAAAAAAATTGCAAAGGGGGGGTGCTTGATACTTTTTTTCGACGATTTTCGATAATTAATATCCCTTAAACTAAAAGCGTTAGCAACCAACGAATTGCTGATTATGAAAGATTGGAAAATTCCTATCAGATAAAAATATAAAATAATTATATTTCCTACCGTAAAAGGCCTAAAAACACGACTGAAAGTGCTAAAAGTGACATTTTGCAATTTTTGCTCATTTTATTCAATCGCGAATATCTCGTAAACTAAAAGAGATAATTAAGATCTAATCGCAGCGTTTTAATCTACGAATTATTCTCTATAAGATAGGCTAGTTAAAACGGAAATCTGAGAAATGAAATTTTCATTCTTAAGAAAAAAATTGCCAAGGGGGGGTGCTTGATACTTTTTTTCGACGATTTTTGAAAATTCATATCTCTTAAACTAAACGCGATAGCAACCTACGAATTGCTGATTATAAAATATTAGAAAATTCTCTATCAGATAAAAATATAAAATAATTAAATTTAATGGGGTAAACGGTTTAAAAGCACGACTGAAAATGCTAAAATTGATATTTTAATTTTTCGAGTAATTAAATAAATCTTAAACTATTACCGCGGTTTTTGATGCAATTTTATTAAAACTTGGATTTGGCGGTAGATTTCTTTTTAATCTGGTATAGCAAAGTATATTCTTATTAATTCTTATGGGTAGTTTGAAAAATTTCTCATTTTATTGATTTTTTGTAAAAACAAAAGCACGATGTTCTCCTGCTTCACCTATTCAGCATCAGAGTCGCGTTCGCATTCGACTGCCATTCCTGGTATCTTAGAAGCAATCGATGCTTAGAAACGAAACGCAACGAAAGAACTGGAAAAAACGCCAAGTTTCGTACGTGATCTGCCTGAAGAATGGCTACTCGTCGATGCCCTCTTGCGCGACTCTTGCGAATAATATTCCGTGTAGGCAAACGGATAAAATAAAATAAGCGGGCTAGAAAAAAGGCTGCCGCACGAAAAAAACGACGCGCAAAAAATGATTGCCGTATTATTGATTCGATAGATTTCTATTTAAGCAGGGCGTATCTAATATTTCGGCTAAATAAAAAATGAAAACACGATTTGCACAGTCATAACTTATACAGCCGTACACGTTAAATTGCAATTAATGTGACGTGTTACACAAAAAACACAGAAATTTATTTTTTTAATTCTAAAATATGCGCGTTAATGCGAAATATTCATCCCTGGGTGTAACATTTTTATTAAATTCAGTAGTTTCCAGCGCGCTGGGGGAAATTACGGCACGTGCTAATAAAAAGACCACTGCCACCCCCTAAACTCGTTTAAATTTATTAGCGCAAAGTCATTTTTAGTAGAAAATTTTATTAAACTCGGTTTTTATTTCGTCTAAAGTCTCAAATCATGGCAGTTTTACTTTTATGTCGATCGTGATGATTCACCACCGCTCCCCGCCCCTTTGGCCAACACTCGTATGTTAAGCGCGTATTTATTTCGTCCCTGCAACCGAAATAAGCGCTACTATTTCGACGTTATGCCCGTTGGGCGGAAAGCGACGAACCCGGCTGGCGGTTAACTAACGCGGCCCATAAATGTCACGAATTAGAAATATATTGAAGCGAGGGGTGAAGCGCTAACCTAACGTTGGCGTTTCAACTGCGAGCCTTGGCAAAGGATGAGTACTGCCCCGAAATTCGCCATCGATGCGAAAAGCAGCTAACTAATATCATTAACTGAACACGAAGTGCCTGGAAAAAAAAGGAACTCAGGGCGTTTAACCATACGCGCTTGATTAAATGAAATAATAGAACGTTTGGGCGCCGGGGGTGGATTTTTATATTATAGACATTATGGCGATATTTTACGGTCGGAAATATAAACGCGGCGACTTCATCAACCAACGCAGGCAGAGGGGATTTATGTTATAACTTTTTTTTTATTTTTGCGCATTTTTACGAGTACGTTCTTAGAAATTTAATTAAGTCTATATTTTAAAAGTTGGTGAGAAATATTCTTTAAATATTTGCATAAAAACTTATGATTTAATGAAAGTTAAATTGTGGACGTGTGGAAAAGGCGTCGAGAACAATGGATGTTTAATTTTGAAATTTTGAATTATTACCACCGATGTGATTCGTCCAGTCAAAGTCAAATTTGTCCTGGACGGGCGCTGAGTGCAGTGAGTTCGACGCGCGTCCGCGTTTTAATTCATTGCTTATTGCAGAATTGCACCGGCGCGAATCACGTGTGTAAATCCACTTTGCAGCGTTTACACGCCGAGCACGCGGCGCGATATTAAATGTGTGCGCGCGTTTACGATGAATTAAAAGCGCGCATTCAACGCGGAATGCGAATCGACAATGCCGCGGCACAATGCGCAATTCACCTCCGTGCACCACTACGCTTATTTCGCCTTCGTGGCAGCGCACAATAAAGCGGCAAGACTCCTCGCATGAGCCGCGCGTCGTATTTATACTTTCATCGGGGCGCGAGTTTGATTAGTGCCAGTTCTTCGGCTGGCGAACGCGGCGAGCCATTATTAAACCTTCGGCGATTGATCTGCGTTCTCACGATTCCTCACAGGCGACCGACCTAATGGAGTTCAAAGAAAAAATCAAAATCAAGTTGGCGTATGTATGAGGGCGACGATAAGTGCATTTGTTATAGTTTTTGTTTAATTACACGAAAACTATTCATGGAAATATTTTGATTCTTTCAGATACTTGTTTTGAATTAAATTCTGAATTAAACTGTAGAAAATATCCTTGATTGCATTATACAACCAAAGGTTATAAATAATTAAAGTTTAGGTTTTATAAAAATTTGAACATTTTGCTGTAACTTTTGATTAGAAATAATAATAACAATTATTATTTCAGATTTAATAACTAATTTAATGCCAAAAAGATTTCCACAGAAATTAGTCTTTTAAATTAATTAGTTCCTGAATAATTAATTATTATTTTAGCATAATTAATTTTAATAATAGAAACTAAAATTAATTTCGGTAAAAACCAAAGTAATAATAATTAAAGGGCACGTAATAAACCTGCTGGCTTTTGTGCACCACCTCTTGGTAATAAAATAATCATAAAATCTACAAATTCACAGGCGCACTTGCACTACGAGTAGCAATAATAATAATAACCCTATTTAAAACTTTTGTACCTTTGAAGCTGAAATTTTACGAGTAAGTATTTTCATCG